TGGGATTTCATAGACATTAGGGTTGGAAGGGACCTTGGAAGATCATCGAGTCCAGCCCCCCGCCCAAAGGGCAGGAAGTCAACTGGGGTCATAGGATCCCAGCAAGATAAGCATCCAATTTGCTCTTGAAGGTGTTCAATGTAGGTGCTTGAACCACCTCCAATGGCAGGCTGTTCCAGACCACGGGGGCTTGGACAGTAAAGAAATTTTTCCTTATGTCCAGCCTGAAACGGTCTTGTAGTAGTTTATGACCGTTCAACCTCGTCATCCCTTGGGGCACTCTGGTGAGCTAACGTTCCCTCAGATACTGGTGGTCACTGTCACAAGGTCACATAGGTGCCTTGTGCCTAGAAGAGGGTTAAGAACAGCTGACAAGCACCAGGGCAGCTCAGCTGCTGGTTGCTGGGGCAACCATGTTGGTCAGGTGACCAGAAGGGGGCAGGGCTGGGCCCTTATAGACAGCTGGAAGAGCAAGAGCTCTGCAGTGGAGCCGAGCTGAGTTGGGCAGACTGATGGAATGAGTAGCCGCATCATGACAACGGGGGAGAGAACCCTGACCAGGAGGTCTTACTGGAAGGCCAGGTGGGACCTGGATTTTATGTTATAGCCGGTAGGCTTATTGTTCTGTTACAGCCAGCTGGCTTATGGTTCTGTTGTGTTAGTCGTGTAAATACTCTTGAGGACCAGGTGAGGCTGTAGGGGTGCGAGGAGGCCTCACGGGAGCTCCCCAGTAGTCTGGGAGTTCCTGGGTGCCCTGTTTGGGCACAGAGCAGTGCCTGGGAGGCACGGCTGTGTGGCACCAGTGTGGTGCCGTGTGTGGGGGTTGTGACCCCAACCTGAGGGCAGTATTCGGCCCAGTCAGGCAAAGGACCCTGAGAAGGGTCAGGGGGCCAGGCACAGCTGTGTGCCACCTGAGCCCTGAGCGCGGTTTAGTGTGGGACAGAGCCCAGAGAGGGCAATAGCGTGGGGCAGAGCCCCGAAGGGGGCGAGAGTATTGCGGTGAGCCCTTAGTGTGGACAGCGCGGGGCAGAGCCCCAAAGGGGGCGAGAGCATTGTGGTGAGCCCTGAGTGCGGAAAGCGCAAGTATAGGCTCCAGCAAGGGCGAAGAGCACGGCGAGCGCGAGATAGGCCCGAGTGCGGGTGAGAAGTAGCCCGAGTCAGGTGAAAGACCCCGAGAAGGGTCAAAGGGCCAGGCATGGCTACTGGCCACCTGAGCCCCGGCGCGAGAAGCGCAGGACAAGCCCCAGAGAAGGGCAAGGGTGCGAGAAGCGTGGGACAAGCCCCAGAGAAGGGCAAGTTTATTGAGAAGCCCAGAACGACGAGTATACTGAGGAGGCTCCTGAAGGAGTCAGCCTATGGTGCCGGCCCAAGAGGGCTAGTGAACACAGTGGCGCTAGAGAAGGGGCGCTGGTTGCGTGACAAGCCCAGAGGCGCTAGAGAAGGGGCGCGGGTTGCGTGACAAGCCCAAGGACACCAGGCAGGGTGCAGAAAGGAAAAGGGACCAGATAACGTCCGGAAGAACTGCGAGGCTTGGGGTGTGCTAAAAGGGAGGTAGGAGGCACACATAGCCCATAAGGCTGGGGTGCAACAGGTCACCCGTAGAGAGTAGGAGCCCAGACAAGTATAACACCCAGTGCTAGGAGATCAAAGGCAGCTTCCCATATTAAATTATATACGACCAAGACGTGGCGAGCGAGAATCAGAGGGTGCTGGATCTCCTAATTTGGCACAGCAGGGGGTGCTAGCGGGATCACGGCCGCTCCTAGGGCCCACTCCATGACAGTCACCCCTGAGAAACTTATAGGTGGCCATCAGATCACCCCTGAGCCTGCGCTTTTCCAGGCTAAAGAGCCCCATGACTCTCAGCCTGTCGTTGTAAAGTCTGTTTTCCTGACCTCTGATCATGTGCGTGGCTCTTCCCTGGACTCCCTCAAGCTTCTCCACATCCCTTTTGAATTGTGGAGCCCAAAACTGGACACAGTACTCCGGCTGCAGCCTCACCAAGGCCAAGTACAAGGAGAGAATGATGTCATGGGATTTGCTTGAGAAGCATCTATGGATGCAAGCCAGCATTTTGGTTGCTTTACTAGCTGTAGCATCGCATTGCAGGCTC